CCCCGACCGCCCGAAAGAACATTCTCAGTTTGTGAAAGAATTTTAGGAAAAACAAGGAAGCACATCCGATCACGTAATCTCCGTCGATATCGACTATTACGTATTAGATTCGACGGAAATGGCAGATTGGCGGCACACTGTTAATTTTCCTAGAGAAGCGCGACGCCACCTGCCCGGCCTCGCGATTTTCGATTGGTTTTCGAAGTAGGATCTGGGTCGCCGGGCTCTTCGATTCGGCCGCCATAAAATACAAACACCCGAGCCTTCTCTATCGGTAAATACTAAAGTCCAGGTATGTGCACACTATGTACGCGATATAGTCCACATAGCATAACACATATAGTATAGGAAAGGAATTCGAACGAATATAGGAATATAGGAATATAGGAATATAGGAATATAGGGATATAGGAAGCAACGTAGGTATTACCCAGCCACGGGGTGAGTACGGCACACAGTGTGGACTAGGCCGTACGTGATCCAGGAAACCTCGTAAGATCGGAGAAAGCCAGAGAATTTGAGTATTCGACTGGTATCGCTTCTTTCCAGGAGCCTGTCGTGGACAGGATTTCTCTGATGCTTTATGCCCCACACGGATACACTCCTATACCTGCCAAAACAGTTATAACTTTGAGAGACCTTTTCTCGTCCCCTCATCGTCCAGAACTCGCAAGTGAATCCTGATAACAGAAATAGTGCGAGTCCCGTCACAGCGACAGAGTCCCTGGGGAGCTGCCTGCAAATGTAAAATCAATGGCAGAGCGAGGATTGCCCGCGCTCACGTAATTCTCCTTATCGAAATCATCAAAGATCCGAGTAGCGAACGTGTGTATTTCATGGCACGCGAACAACAAATAGACTTTCGTGATATCGCGTTTCGACACCATATCAATTGGCTGCCCCGTTCAGAAATCCTAAGACCGACCGATCGAACCGCCTGCTGTCGCTGTACAAATACTCTATAGTCAGACGAGCTGGCTCGCGTCTACTAGTCTCCCCGACGGAGAATCGAAATCCGACCTTCGGTTCGGCTTGACTCGCTTTGGAATAACGGAACGACTTGCGCATAGTTCAAGGTCGAAGTATGACGAATACTCGTCAAGAGCGAAATGAATGAAAGAAAAAGCGAGGTCAAAGGATTAGAAAGTAATGGAAGACCGAGTCCTAGAAAATTCACCTTGACTCAGTGTGACTGTGCGGTATCGACCCTCGCTTCGACTCACCCTTCGACTCACCCTTCAACTCACTCATGCTCCACTCGCTGGAAGGATCGAACTCTGTGCCCGCCGTGCACGGGCTGCAGCCAGAGCCTCTCTGACCGCTTCCTACTGCTGATTGGAGCACGGAATAAGGTAAGGTGTACCTATAGGAGCATCGGCGTTACAGGAATCGCTTGGAGATCTTGAGCCAGTAGACACTAGCGAAAATGTAAGAGCGCTGCCGGGACTCCTGACCGAGGCCTCGAACTTCGCGTCGCAATGCAATGGATCCATGGCTGCTCCCTCTTCCTTTGGTTCATTATATTTCTACGTGGAAGACTTTTCACGGCAGCCGCGAAGGAACTCGGCCGAGTGCGCTCGTTTTTACTTTGAATAATCCGGCAGCAGCGAGGGAGCCTGTCGCGGAAGGAAAAGGAGCTCGGAAGACGCGAGACTCGGGTAACAGAGTGTCCATTTGACAGACGTGAAACAGTCGATCCGCCAGAGCGAGCTTACTGGGGGGATTACCAAAGAAATTTCTATGGATCCAGCAATTGGTGCCAAATGGTGCGGAGTAGTGATTAACTGGACTAGTAGGAAGATGGCGGAAGATCGAAACGTAGGGCAGGCTAAAGGAAATATGTATCTCATCGGATCCAACGACACAGCGACTCGTCGGCAGTAACGAAGATGTTAAGATGGGAAAGATTCTGTACTATAGGTGTCAAGGAGAAAGGAATCGCGCCTATCAGAGGATGATATCGCAAGTGCGCCTAAAAGGGATGAAATGCGGGGGGCGAGTCACGAGCGGGTGAGTTTGGCTGGGTATAAGGGGGCAGCAGGCAGGTTTGCCTGGCAGGCTCGTAGTTATACCGAAAACTGACAGTTCATAAATTACGCAGCCACATTATAATCGCTGCCGGCTCAGCGCAGCCCGGGCAGCTTTAACATCGAGGCTGAAACTTGGCGCTTGGCTAAATTAGTGGCCCAACCGTTACAACCGTTACAACCGTTACAACGGGAATACATAGGCAAGTACATAGCCTTCCATCCGCCTTCCTCAAGGTACATGGACAGTGTACTACATGGACTTGGCCTGAGACTAGCTGCGTGTATTTAGAGGCGTGTTGCGTAAGCCTGTACTTAGTTCACATAAATTATACGTTAATCGGTGACGGCGTCATTTGCAGGCAGCCGACGCACCGGCTGAGAAAAAGCTGCTCCTCCAGTGTCAGGAACGTCACATATTATAGGGGATCCAACGCGGCGGCCATACTTGTCTTGGCTTTCGGTTAATTCTCTTACAACAGGACGACGACAACGGGACATTCTAAAGAACTCTAAGGATCACGGCTGAGACGGCGATGCCTGCGATGGCTCCTTCCAATGCCCGTCACGCGCGAATGTGCCCGGTTGGCACCCGGGTCCAACTTCCTAAGCCTGCCAGGCACCGCTTCGACATTTAATCCGGTATCTATAGGTCGAGGGTTACAGGGCTGGCGACGAGCGTCGGTCAATTTAGAGAAACTCTATGTGCTTCCCTGCGCGCGGGACATTGAAATATTCACGTACCGGCTTAATTATTCATCGGCTGCTGCGCGCCCCGCGACTCCTCGTTAGCGTTACGCGCTCGTTACGCCTGATCTTTGATTTTTTTTTCTTTTTTTTTTTCCTTCTTTCCAAGAGATACAGAGATGCGCAGGCACGAGGAGGAGAGGACCGAAAACACAATGCAATTTCGACACAGGCTCGAGGGAGCTGTGCTGGTAAGTAGGCCAAGGTCAATCCTGGCTGTTCGCTCCTGTCGCATGTCAGTTGGCGCCCCTCGCGCCCCTCGCGCCCTTCGTGTCGACCAGCCGCGGAGCCGCGATAAGACGTAGGAGGAGCGTCAGAGCGCAGCGCTGACGGCGAACGCTCGTGACCGAAGGCACTGCCATTCTGTGCGGGATAATTACTGGGCAGAAAAAGGGCACGAGGTCGAGCGTTCTTCGAAGGTCACGCCAATCACGTAATAGGGTCACGGGTCGCGCTAGACTTTTCTTCGCGTTCCAGGAAGCGCCTGAGCGATAGCTTCTTGATCCTGCTGCATGATTACTATAGTATACATGCATATGACATGACACAGGCGCACGTGTGACATGCGCGTACGATTGACCTGCGTCGACGCAAAATGGGCATAACGCATGATTCCAAGATGGACTCACCTCGGTATCGTTCCACCACATGTGCAGCCGATAATTCCTGAGCATCGCCGGATCTTCGTTGATATGGTCCACGGCCAACTTGACCGCAGGCATCACGCCGCGCCCAATGTGACTCTCCGGCACGTGTCTCCCGTACGGAAAGAAACCGGCAATGTAGACGTCACGTTTCTTGACGCCACCGAGATTTATTGGCTTCTGTCCGGTGCACACGAGAGCTGCGTGGATCCAGAAGATGGCGACGATCAGGCGCACGTGCATCCTTCGAGGGCGCAGCTGGCAGTATCGCGAGCCCTTCGACATTCTTGCCCAGTTTGATCCTTGCGAATTCCCCTCCGCTTCCCTCCCGCCGCCGCCGCCGCCGAGCGGCAGCATCGAGCACCCCCTGCGCTCCTCACCGCAACTGCACCCACTAATAATTCCGCGTGCCTATCATTTCTTTGAATTCCGCCTACAGCCCCTCGCGTTAACCCCGGGTGCAGCCACCCCCATGCGCGCCACTACGCCGAGAACATGTCCTCCGGATCTCAGGCTGCCCTCTTCTTGCTAGTCTCGGGCGCACGGTCGATTGTGAACGCGTCATAACTTCGACATGATGGCTCAGGCTTTTTTCAATTAATCCTCGTCTCCAGCGGGAAATCTAGCCACCCGAATGTTCGATCCTATCGTCGCCGATTGAGAGCTCAATAACGCGATTCGCGCAATTAACCCCGTGACTTGTGTCGCTTTAGACGAAATTACGATATTGCATGCTGCACAGTACGAGGCTGAGCCCGTTAATTGTCACAACCATATGCAGAGCCGTCCGACTTTAAGTGCGTACGAAACGACGCAGCTAAATTCGGCACGCGAGTCTCCTTCGACGTGTCTCGATGCTCGGCTTATTAGAACGTTTCTCTCCCGCCGGTGCAGGAGACGTTACGACGCGAGAACTTATCGGCCGGTCGAGGCATTTCCGTGCGTTCCCGTCCGCAGTCCGCACGACGTGTCGGGGGCTGCCGGCGCACCGACGAAAAACTTCAGCATTGCCAGCAAGTTACATCGCGGAACGTCGGCCGATCTTCTTTAGGCGGGATGCGTGCGTTGCGCCTCAACGAGTTTCTACATACTTGAGCTTCTCTCGACTTTCAATTCGTTCTTCTTCGTGCACGAATCCTGCGCACGTGGAGTCGACGGAGAATAACCTAGGACAAATTTTATTTTATCGCGATGATTTTGACTCGCGCATCGTTAGACTTCATTGGCTCTTTTTATCGCTTTTTACATTCCATTTTATTCATTCACGCATTTTTGTCAATTTAGTTTAACGGTATTCAAATTTTTTTATAGAAAATCATGAATGCATATTTTCCGGTAATTCTAACGGAGCGCTCTGACGTTTTGCTATTTTTTTTCTCTTCTTCTAAAAAGAAACGAGCTTCCCGAGCGATTGCACAATGGACCGTAGATCTAGGTGGTTTCCGTATTTGTCGCAGACGATTCCGCACCTGAAACACAATTAAAAAAATTAAATTTTTCATCTGGCCTTTTTTTTCTAAAAGAGGATAAATCTTTGGCGTTTCTTGTTCAGTAGGAAATTCTCGTCTGGTAGGCACCTCGTTCAGCCCGAGTGCTCGTATAATAACCGGCTTATGGGGCCCCACCACCCCATGTATGTAGGCACGCTCTACCGTCACTCCTTAAAAGCACCGTGATCTACATGGAAGCTCATTCCGCAGCTGCAGCTGCATCGCCGGCTACGTGGGCTACGTGGGCTACGTGAAACTGGCGCCAGCCCGAGTCGCGGTTCCTTATGCAATTCATGAGGGACAGAGAACAGTAGGAAGAGCGAGACGGAAGAGGAAGATAAAGGGACTGTGAGGAGGATCAATATAAAAGTCAATATCAATGTGACGCACTGGTAAACCTTAGAAAACAATCGAGTGCTTCAGCGCTCCTTCGGGAAACTCCAGATGACATTTTGTAGGAAAACATGAGTCCGAGAATTACGTCGGTTTCCCCGGCGCGTACAATTTTAGCGAAGCTCGGGGCGCTTCGTGCTTTAAATAATTTTTCTTGGCCCTCGCGTCTCCCATTTTCCGGAACGAAGTACTTTTCCTCGCTCTCGACAGCAAAAGCGAGAGACACGCGGGGGCGGAAGGGCAAGTCGGGTGAAACGGAAGGGTGAAGAAAAGAGCGGGGGGCTTTCGGTAAGGAGAAGCTTTCAGAGAAGCTTTCAAAGAATCATCGGACACGAGATACTCGTGCGCCTTTTGAGCTTCCTGAAATAATAAATTTTGCTTTCAAACAATGCGACAAGGACTTTTCCGAAAAGTGGGCCACGCCGTAGCTTTAAGCGACATTGCGCTCTTGTGGTCCACAACTACCGTTCCCCGTTCCTTCCGCCTCGGTCCGAGACCATGTCTGTCTACAGGGTGTACAATTCGTCCGTCCGTGCTTTCGGCATTTCTCAAAACAACAAGGCTAGTGCTTGGGACTAGAAACACGTTCTCTAGGATATACGCAGGACAATTTGATTAGAGTCGTCGAGATTATTGATAGAAGAGAGAAGACGGATAATCGAAAAACTCGGGAGAGTCTATTTTCATTTTTTTTTTTGGAATCTCAATTTCGTAGATGCGGCGAGACAATTGGCTGTGAATTATCAACAAGGTTCTATACGTTATACGTTATGACGTCCTAGAACGACTCGAGTGGATTTCTTTTTCTCTCAATCTCCTTCCGTATCGGTTCGCAATCGCCAACAATCCTATAGAGTTGTCTGCTTTGCAGCTGTCCAAAATAGGACGCGACAGGAGGGCTAAAAATCATGACCAATAATTGATCCCATCGAAGCAAATCAAAGAGTAGCATTGCACGCCGGGCCGGAAAAGAAATCCCCTGTCCTCCATTTTTCATCTTCCTCTTTTATTCCGTAGACACGGCAGAGTAGAGGAAGAAAAATTAATCGAAACTGCCGGAGAGGGTGGAATGTAAGGCGATCAGTGGACACAGAGAAATGGTGAAAGGAAATAAAGGGAGGACAGAAGTGGGAGCGAAAAATGGAGGTTGCCTCCACATCCTCCACATCCTCCACATCCTCCACATCCTCCACATCCCGCAGGGCATCGATCAGGCTTGTTGCGGATTTAAGTGGCTGGAACCATAGGCGAAGCTGAAGCCAGCAATTTCATCGTTTTCCTCAGCCGATAATGCTCTGCCTACGGCGTCTCGACGCCCCCCCCCCCCTTCCCCAATGTGGTATATCGAGAGACCATTCAGTTTACCACTCACAATGCGATATCATTGGCCACGTTTTGACCAGATACTGGAAACCTCGATCAATCTTGCACGTCGCTGCGATCCTAAATGTCAATTGAATTAAAGCACCATTTGTGTCCGGCCGTTACGATAAATCATGAGCGACCGTCGCTTAAAAAACCTTGGACTGTGCGGACAGCCTATTCGGATTCGAGTGCATCGCTAAGTAACAATTTATCGTGAAAATCTACTGATAAAAAATGAATTGATAATCGGCCGAATGAAAAGGATGAACATGATAAAGCGCCTTTCACACGGACTAACGATAAGCTCCGATGAAATATTCAGAAATAAACAACTGTCCTTATAAGCTGACAATCAATGTAATAAGGTCTCATTAGGTATTCATAGGTGGGCAATCCAACGACAAGGCCAGTCCTTGGCACCGTAACACGATTCATGAGAATTGCGAGCGAGACGTAGCTGGGGGAAGCGCAGCGTGTGAATGTGTCATTGTCTACTACGTGTCACCATCTAGCGCGGACTTCTTCTTTGGTTAGTAATTCATTTCGCGAAGGATCAATAAGGCACCAGACAAACCGATCTCCTCTCTCTCTCTCTCTCTCTCTCTCTCTCTCTCTCTCTCTCTCTCTCCTCCCTCTTCACCCTCTCTTCTTTCTTCCCCCATCGTCTCGTCTCAATACTCTCTCTCTCTCTCTCTCTTTCTCTCTCTCTCTCTCTCCCGTGGGATGCTAATGAGACATCGTCACTGTGGCGCAGCTCGAGTATTATCATTTGCTTATCTATCGGCTGTGTCCCGATGGCTTGGCTGAGCCTCAGTCTCGAGTCTTTGCAATGTACCCGATACCTATTAAGCTGAAACGTGATTGATCGACCTGCCGTCGCGACGCCTCTTTCTTCGACCAGTTTTATTCTCGGGAGCTCGTTACCTTAATAAGGGGGAGAGAAAGAGAGATTTCAGGGCGATCCTTGCGTGCTAACTGGACAAAGGCTGTGCTTTCAATGACAATGATATTGTACTTTAATCTAAGGGTCAGCGGGTCATCGGTGCGTCTTGACTTATTTAACGCAACAGCAGAGACGTCGTGAAACGGTATGGGCCTTCGGGTAAACGAGAAACGTGATGTGGAACCATAACGCCGGGACGGCGCCGTTTCTGTGGATCGTGGAGAATCGCGAGACAATCATCGATTCTAAGTGTGATTGTGCATTGTGCCGTGATTGAGCCATTCTTCCGATTTGAATGCAACCGCGCCTTACGCGCAGCCCCGCAATGTCCCCAGAACGACCCAGAACGACCCAGAACGACCCAGAACGACCCAGAACGTCCCATATAGCAGAACAGGGAGACTCAACTTGAAACAACGTTCGGAACAACTCAGAGAATATATTATCTGGCGGAAAGTAGATAGATGGCTGGCTAGATAGTATAGATAGTAGATGCATGATGCTGCGTATAGAGAATAAGATTCTAGAGGGGTTGCGACATCAGTTCCACTTTTAGGGGCCATCTCCTTACGAACCTAAGAATAAATAAATCCCCCCGGGATTCTGGAATCGAGTTCCCTTTCTTGTTTCTCGTCAAAGGGAACACAGGATTCTCGGCGTTTCTTCTAACGAGATCTTATTACATTTTTCGCATCTTGTACGGAGATATAAAAAGATAAATATATTTTGCGGGAGAGGCGGCAGGGTAGGAATCCAAACGGTAAGACAAATCTTCTCCTCCGAGCAGTTTGGAATTTCGCGAGCCGCGCCCAACCGTCAGTCAAGCGCAACACGAATTGAGCGAATCAACGAGTCAAATGGAAATTGGTCGGCTCACGCATTCGTCAATGCACCCGGCCACACGGCTCTAGGCCGATTCACTGGGACGAATGGTTCCTGTCTGTAATACACCTTTCGATTCTTCGATTCTTCGATTCGATATTACTTCCTGATCAAATTCGCCTTTCAAACACTTTCCAATCAAAAAGGTAATTGCGTGCCTCACGAATGAAGACGAGGATTGTTTTCCATGGAGCGGTGTTGGAGAAATATGTTCCTAATCCTACCCTATCGCGTCTTTTCCTGGCGGAAGTCAGGAAGCTTCCTGTGGGATTGTTTCCTTCGAGCCAGACCTCGAGGATTTCAAGGAAAGGAAAGCGACCTTAAAGAAGTTCCGCTACGAGAGGGTGGGACGGTAGGGTTGAATTCTCAAGGAATCAAGCTGCAGGACCTGCTCCCCGTGGGAATATTCGAAGGGGTGCCTCATTCCGCTAGACGGAAATAACCTGGATGGCTAACCAGAAACGTTTTTCATTCCAGTCGAGCTCGATGAATTACTTTTCGTTAGTCGATAGCATCGCCAAGCGTGTATCTTCCTTCCCTGCACTACTCCAGACTCCTATATTCTGCATCCCCTGATTCGACTCAGGGCTCAAAAAAAGGAAGCACTGCTTCCGTTCTCATGGGTCTTTTTTCATTCTCATCGCGCTGATCTAGATGTGGTCATCCGATAAATAAGTCCTGATCAGTCTGATCCGGTGACCTTTCTTTAGACCCAGGCCGGGGCCTACCCGATGCCTTATTCCAGGCTCGAAGAAAACTTATAAATTCTGTTCTCGTACTGCCGAGAGAAACAAAGAGGCATCGAAAAAGGACTTATTTTCTGACTCGGGCTCGCTTCCCTCTCGGGTGTTATCGCTCTCCGGTTCCCTGGCTGCGGGACACCCTCCCTCCTGGTTCACCCCTTGAAACTCCATATATTTTTAGCGCACCAGCCGGAAGACCTTTCTTCGAATTACCCAAGCGCCGAATAAGTCGAAGCGCGCGGGACTCCTGCCCCTCGCGTCTCACCTACCTTCTCGACTTACGAATCTTTCACGACCTTTATTTCGAAATCATCCGTTTTCAGCCTTGTCTCCTCGCTGAAGGCACTTCCTGTGCCATTCGAATTTCGACCTAAATGCAAAAGTAATAAAGACCGGAAAACCGAATTCCCTGGATTCCTCGTCTCTCTTTCGCCGCCCGCGAAAGAATTTCAATGACGGAATTCGACCGCAAACGCGCAGGTAGAGAGTAAAGCAGTCAAGTGAAAGTCATGACTAGTCAGTGACGCATGTGAATTAATAATCAATCGGAGGTAAATAATTCCTCGTGAAAGAGGGAGGGCGACGGGCGAGGGACGAAGAACAAGGGGCAGCTGAAGAAGCGGAGGCTGCGGGAAGCCGAGATAAATTGCATG